GGTTACTCAAAGGGAACGAAACGTTTAATCCTATTTTATTATCCCGGCTGTTGCAGATTAGACTCCTTAGAAATGAGGTGCTTTAAAATCAAACCCCGATGCCCACATTTTCCCAACCCTCCATTAGAAAAAGTGATCTCTGAAGGGTGGCAAATTGAAGCCAGCCAACTAAGGCCTATTATGCACGGACGTTTTCCCTCGCTTTCGCCGTGCATGTCTCTCAGGCTTTCTCCTGCTTTCAGCGCTCAGTTTTCTTTCTGGTCGCTCCTTCCCTGGGCTTTCTAAAGCAGGGGTGTCAAATTCATTTGTTATGAGGGCCGGATCTGACATAAATGAGACCTCGTTGGGCCGGGCCGGGTGTGTCATAAAATGTAATGCCAGGTAGCGGAGATACAAACTTTATAAAGGACACAAACACAAAGGGTTTTTAAAAAATTAAAATAAAAACGTGCTTAAAACGTTAGCACTCTTGCAATATTTTATTTAACAGTGTTTGATAACTGACACCTCCTGCTCTGAATGATTGCATCAAAATGTCCGTGCTGTTGTCATCTTGAGTCTGCTGTTCAGGTGTGTATCTGTAAGCTGCAAACCTACGATGACGCAGTAGCAGTCGAGTCCGACTCTAGGGTTGCGGTGCTCATCTCCGTTTCAAAGCCGAAGAGCCAGCGCTGTCCGAAGACGTTTCCGTGGTCATGTGGCCATCCTTCCGATTAGGAGCCGCCACTGAACGAGCTACTGAACATCTATTACTGGCACTTTCTTTGGGATACTGGTCTAGTCATACGGGGCCAACGACAACGATCGCCATCTGCACTTTATCGTTGGTATTTAATCTGCACTTTATATTTTATTGTTAGAATTTTGTGTTTTTATTGTAAATTATTATTGTACGCCACCTTGAGCCTTCTTGTCAGGCAAGGCGGGATAGAAATCAAAATAAATAAATAAATAAATAAATAAATAAATAAATAAATAAATAAATAAATAAATAAATAAATGAGGATGCCAGTCACAGCTACTGGCGAAACGTCAGGTCCTATAATGGCAAGACCACGGCCAGACAACCCGCAAAAACTACAGCAGCTAATGAACTCTGGCCGTGAAAGCCTTCGACAACAGACTGGTGGAAAGTTTAAAAGGAGCTGCGTGAAGTTTTGTTCCCTGCTGGTATTGATGTGAAAGGGGGGGGGGGTCACAGAGGAGGCAAATGGCAGCGTCCCCAGTGTAAAAAGAAAGAAAGAAAAGGATTTCAGTACTGCATGCAACAAAAATGAAGGGGGGGATCATCAGTGTGGAATGAAATTGACAGGAGACGTAAAGAGAGACAGACTCTGGAATAGGAAGCCTAAAGCTTTGGAAATATTTTCCCTTTAAATGCTTTAGTGAGCAAAGGGGTTTTTTTGGGGGGGGGACTCTGGAAGCCTAGTATTAGATGGGCGCAGGGGTTATTTCGTACAAAAAAGGTGCAGGAGCTCATTAGCATAACTAATTAGCATAACTTATTTGCGTATGCCACACCCCCTGACATCTCCGGAAGTGTGTCAGAAGGCAGCACCCACCACTCAGGCTCCACTGGACTGTTTTGGATTGCTGGCTATTGGGGGGGGGAGGAACATGCAGATCTGTCCTCACAGAGGAGGGAGAGCTTGTACCTGAATAAAACCTGGTCTTAAAGGTGCCACTGGACTGTTTTGGACCTTAGTGCTGGGTGGGGGGCTCTGCAACTTACCTGGCTGCTTCTTGCTCTGGCTGAGGGCTGCTGGGAGCAGGGGGTGGGGCTTGTTGCATGTGCCCACCAATGTTCCCTCTAAGCTGCGGGGTCTTGTGAGCAAAAATTCTACTTTGTGAGCTACCGGCATTGACATTGTGAGCGAGTGATTTGGCTGCTGCATAAAGTAGCTTGCTCCAGAGCCATACCTTCCTGAGCGAAGACAAAAATCTGTGAGCTGGAGGCTAAAAAACTGTGAGCTAGCTCACACTAACTCAGCTTAGAGGGAACACTGGTGCCCACCCCTGGGCTCTTTACTGCCAGAGCTCCGCTCCTGTGCGCTCCTGCAGGAAATGACCCCTGGATGGGCGGATGAGCCACATGGGCCTTCTGCGAACCACCGACTTAAGAATTGTTTGGGATCGATCAGTTTGGAGGAACAGTGCAATCCGCACAGGACAGGCTTTAAAAGACTGCCATGATCACAGCCAGTGTGCAGGATCAAATCAGAGAATCACAAAGAGAAGACCACGCAAACTTGCAAGGAAGGGGCAGGAAATGAGCGTTACTATGTAGCCGTGCAAGGGCATCGGTGAAAATACCTCCCCCATTTTTTTTCAGTTTAGTGGCACAGAACTAAAAAAGCTCTCCAGAGCATGTGCCAGAAGATCCCTCCCCCATACAGACTGCAGCCCTGTGCAAAGCATGGTGGGGTTGCAGCTGACTTTGCACAGGTGTGTACACGCGCACACACACGTTGCCAGGGGTCATTTCCTGCAGGAGAACACAGGAGCGGCGCTCCGGCAGTAAAGAGCCCAGGGATAGCCCTGTCTACCTCACAGGGTGTCTGTTGTGGGGAGGGGAAGGGAAAAGAGTTTGTAAGCCGCTCTGTGACTCTGAGTGAAGGGGGGGGGGTATAAATCCAGTCTACTCCTCCTCTTCCTCCTCCTCCTCATATTATGAGATCATGTGACTCTTTCCAATTTTTCACAGTGTCCGATAACACAGCAGAGAATTCCCTTGTGCGTGACAACAATATGAAAAAGGGGGGCTTTGCAGCTGCTTGTCAGTTTCGGAAAAAAGTCTGGTCAGTGGGTTTCCCCCCTTTTCCTGTGTTCCTTTCGGTTCCCTTTCATTTAAGGAACTAACGCTAAAATTCACGTGCAAAACCTGAACCACAAGGATTTAAATGGAAGGTGCTTGCTGGATGCTTCTATGCAGCTGCAATAGGGCAATTGCATAAAACTTTGGACACCACCAGTGCTCCCTAAGCTGTGGAGTCTTGTGAGCAAAAACTCTACTTTGTGAGCTACTGGCATTAAAGTTGTGAGGAGGCGATTTGGTTATTGCGTAAATGAGTTTGCTCTGAAGTCATCCTTCCTGAGCTAAGGCAGAAATGTGTGAGCCAGCGGCTAAAATACTGTGAGCTGGCTCACACTAACTCAGCTTAGAGGGAACACTGGACACCCCCCCACACACACACGTCACAAGTGACGTTCACCCCGATTTAGAAAAATGCGTTTTTAACATTGTAGCTGCAGAATAAATACACCCAAGGAAAAAGAAGAGTGCCTAAGGTGGGCACAGAATCCAAAGTCAAGATTAAGGGTTTACTGATTTCATGGCAATATATGCATGCCAAGGGTGAGTGAGTTTGTGTGCGTGGTGGAGGGGCATGATTTCTGGCTTAAACTGGCTCGGAAGGTAGAGAACGAGAACATTCCCCAGAGGCAAAAAAAGCCCTCCCACCCCCCAAACCATTCACAGCAAAGACCCATAATTCCAAGGGCGCACTGAACATTGCCTTTCCCCTTTGCTTTCCTCCGTGACCTTGAGAAATCCATCAGCATAACGAACCCAGACCTCGCTGTCCCATTTCTCCTTGGGTAGTTCAGTTTCCCCACGCACCAAACAGAAGCCACAAGTTCACGGGACTCTCCAAAGCATGTTTATTAAGGCCGAGGACATTCAAACCACACGGGTTATCCAAAATACATTTCCCAAGCAAACACAGTCTGTACAAAAACCTGTTGCCGGCAAACCCGGCCCGTCGGGGAGCCCAAAACGACAGCGAAAAAGACTTGACCCAGCCGACCGCCACCCTCCTTCATCTAAAGCCCTATGCTCCGCCCCAGGCGGGGGAGACGGCAGGGTTGCCAGCTTCCAGGCGGGGCCTGGAGCTCTCTCGGAATTGCAACTGATCTTCAGGCTACAGAGATCAGTTCCCCTGGAGAAAATGGCCGCTCCGGAGGGTGGATTCTGGCGTTGACTGTGCTGAGGTCCCTCCCCTCCCCAAACCCAACTTCACCCCAAAATCTACAGGAATTTCCCAGCCCTGAATTGGCACCCCTAATTAGGGTCAAGATTTACATGGTTTGCTTCAGAGCAAAGGGATATTTTTACAATGGAGGGGAGAATGCCCTGCCCGCAGGGATTGATAAAAATTAACTTAATAAGAGCCCTCAACCCCGATTTGCAGAGCATTCTGGTGCCTGGGGGGGGGGGGCTTGAGGCAGGAAAGTAGGGGTGCAAAGAGCCCCCTGAAAACTCAAGCCTGCTCTTGAATCGCGGCTCAGTGTTCCAAAGCAGACCCCCCCAGAATAATCCTTGCTGCAGGAGGGCTTTGCATAGGATTATTCCCCCCACAAATCCAGTTTGTTTGTGGCTCATGCAGCCCCCGACGGCTCCGGTTCCGGCTTGTCGCACGGAGCGGCAACCACCAAAGACCGCCTCCTCATCTCCCGCGTGCCGTGAAAGTCCCATTTCTTCCAAACACCAAATGACTTCCTAATTCACGGACTTTGAGGACGGAGGCAGAACCTTCTCGAAGGGCCTCTAAGGTCTGAATTCTTAAAATAATTATTAAAAAGAGAGCCTAACGACATTAGTACTTTCCAAGGTAAGCTAAGGCAGCCTCTCTTTGGCTGCCGATTTGGGGATACCCAGGGGTCATTTCCTGCAGGAGCGCACAGGAGCGGAGCTCCGGCAGTAAAGAGCCCAGGGGGCAGGCACATGCAACAAGCCCCGCCCCCCGCAGCCCCGGGCCACAAGGAGCAAGAAGCGGCCAGGTAAATTGCAGAGGCCCCCCCCCCCATAGATAGCAATCCAAAACAGTCCAGTGGCAGCTTTAAGACCAAGGTTTATTCTCCCTCCTCTGTGAGGGCAGATCTGCACGCCCCCCCCCCCATAGCTAGCAATCCAAAAGAGTCCAGTGGAGCCTGAGCAGTGGGTGTTGCCTTCTGACACACTTCCGGTGATGTCAGGGGGTGTGGCATATGCAAATAAGTTATGCTAATAAGTTATGCTAATGAGCTCCTGCACCTCTTTTTCTATGAAATGACCCCTGGGGATACCTGAACCGGCAGCTCCTGACAATTATCTATTAATTAATTGATTGATAAATAAATTCCATTTATACCCCGCCCTCCCCGCGAAGGCAGGCTCAGGTGGCTTACATGACATTTCATAAGAATACAATTAAAACCTATATAAGCATATAAACATATAATATAAATAACAATCGATTAGAACACATTATTCTGCTCATTATTCCATATCTGCCCTTGCAACGGGAGGAGAGGGCGCCGTTTGGATTTTCTGCGTCTGGCACCAAAACCTCTGGGCCGTTTCTGTTCGGACCTACAAGTCACAACCAATCTTGGGGGGTGGGGGTCACACACAGTTGAGCTTGGGGGTCGCGGAAAGAACCTGTGCCATGAGTTTATGGTTAATTTGGGGTTTTTTCGTAGGGGTTGGATTTCCTTCCTGAGGACATCAGCCTTCCCAGCTTGAAGACGGAGGCCCCTCTGAGGCGATGGGAAAGTGCGTGCGTGGGTCGGCTTAGGAGAGCAGCTTGAAGCCGAGAAAGACGGGCAGGAACTGCACGGCAGCCAAGAGGACGGAGCGGGTTTGGGACGTGACGGCAGAACTTTGTGTGACTTGGTGCTCCTGGTGGGTGGAGGCCCAGTTGTGGGTCGCCACGGTAGTGTTGAGGCGGGTGCCTGAGGCGGTGTGTGTGGCTCTCGAGGGCATGGGCGTCATGACTCCCGTCGTCAGAGCTGGAGGAAGTAAGTAGGAAAGCCGGGTGAGATGATACATTTGGGGCCCGGAGATCCCCCAGAATTGCTAGGGAACTCCGGACAACAGAGACCAGCGCCCCAGGAGAAAATGGCTGCCCTGGAGGGTGGACCGTAGGACTGTATGCTGCGGTCCCTCCCTGCCCCAAACCCTGCTCTCCCCAGGGCTCCACCCTACAAATCTCCAGGGATTTCCCAACCCTAATTTGGATGGACTGAGGTGCAAAGCCCCCACACTTGTGGGATGACCTCAGGCAAATCTCCATCTTAATTTATCCATTAAATGGGGTGTTCCCTGTACATGAATGACACGGAAAAGCCTTAGAAGTGGGCTATATCAGCACCTGTTGGGTTTGATGGTGAGATATTGAAAAAATGGTATTTAGCAGAGATAATATAGCCCAGCAGAGCCTGAGTAGAATAATTCAGACTGAGAGTCCATGTGTGATTAAAATATAAAGCTTTTACTAAATTCTAGCATAGGGAAGGGTAACTGGGATGATATTAATAACAGAGCCAAACGGCTACATCCTTACACTACAAAGACAAAACTAGAAGAAGAGTTATGGCTTCTCTCTCCTCTTCTTCAGAACAGTGAACAAAGATGGGAAGAGGAGCCATAAAATGCTAAAACACTTTGACACGTTTGTCCCAATCAAACTCCTAGATCAGGGAGAAAATTCCCGGGCTTCCTACATCTAAAGAACATTGGTTACATGAGAAACATGTGACTTCCTGTGAGTAACAGAAACAAACATTTAACCCCAGATATACTGAGTGTTTTCAACTTGTAATACCCAACAGCACCCCCTAATCATGTCTGAGACAACAGAGCACTGTCAGTCTCGGCCATATAGAAGCAGTGGGAGGTGAGGGCTGCCAACCTCCAGGCGGTGGCTGGAGCTCTCCTGGGATTACAACTGGTGTCAGTTCGCCCGCAGGAAAGGGCTGCTTTGGAAGGTGGAGGGCACGATGCCCCACTGAAATCCCTCTTCTCCAAACCCCGACCTCCCCGGGCTCCACCCCCAAAATCTCCCAGTATTTCCCAACCCAGAGCCCGTAGCCCTAGGCGAAGGTGAAAGGGGTGAGAAGCACCAGCATTTGGAGCCAGATCGCTTTCGGCAAACTTACCTCTTGTGAGGGTGTGAGCCTGCATCAGGGTTGTGCCATTGGCAAAAGTGACAAAGGCCCTGTTACGAAAGGAAGAAGACTGTGAGATACGGTTGCCAGCCTCCAGGTGGGACCTGGAGACCTGCTGTCACAATTGATCTCCAGCCGACCAAGATCAGGTCCCCTGGAGAAAAGGACTGCTTTGGGGAGATGGACTCTATGGCATTGTCTTCCACTGAGGTCTCACCCCCCAAACCTCACCCTCCCCAGGCTCCACCCCCCCCAGATCTGCAGGTCTTTCCCAGTCCAGAGCTAGCAACCATACCGTGAGACGAGCGCTATGCGGCAACTGTTGCGCACGGGAAGATGGCTACTGAATGGCCAGCCCTTTTTACAGGAGAATTAGGAAAACAGTCCCCCCCCCCTTTATTTGGGATTGGCTGGTACAGCAGGCTGGTTTTACAGGAACTTCCAAGAAGGAGAGAGACGGCTGCTCTTGTTGGTTCAGTTGCCGATAATTACCAGTGATGCAGCAGTCCAATGCGGGTTATCTTCTCCCACAAGAAATAAATCAGATCCTTTACGGCTTCTGCTGCTGTGAGTCACCTACTGGTTTATTGCTCAGTTTAGTTGTACCTGCCCCACCCTCCATTGACTGGAGGTTCTTAGGGTTACCAACCTCCAGGTGGGGCCTGGAGATCCCCCGCTTTTACAACTCCAGACTACAGAAATTAGTTCCCCTGGGGTAAATGGCTGCTTGGGAGGGGTGGGGGGTGGGCTCTATGGCACTGTACCCTGATGAGGCCCCTCCCCTCCCCGCCCCAAGCCCTGCCTTCTCCAGGCTCCCTCTCCAAAATCCCCAGGTAGTTCCCAACCCACTATGGTGTGGTTGGTTAAGAACATCAGCAGCACCCGGCTGGGTCAGAAGAATCAAGGTCGGAACACGTGCCCCAAGGGAGACATCTCTGGGGGTCCACACACAGGACGTGGAGGCAACGGCCCCCTTTGTCATTTGTTCCCAGCATCTAGTAGTCAGAGGCAGGGGTCATTTCCTGCAGGAGCGCACAGGAGTGGAGCTCCGGCAGTAAAGAGCCCAGAGGGCGGGCACAATACTCCCAGCAGCCCTCAGTCGGGCCACAAGGAGCAAGAAGCAGCCAGGTAAGCTGCAGAGGCCCCCCCGGCCCGCCTTCAGGTATAAGCTCTCCCTCCACTGTGAGGGCAGATCTGCATGTTTCCCCCCCCCCCCAATAGCTAGCAATCCAAAACAGTCCAGTGGAGCCTGAGCGGTGGGTGTTGCCTTCTGACACACTTCCGGTGATGCCAGGGGGTGTGGCATATGCAAATGAGTTATGCGAATGAGTTATGCTAATGAGCTCCTGCACCTCTTTTTCTACGCAATGACCCCTGCTCATAGGTAGACTGCCTCTGTCTATGGATGTTCCATTTAGCAATTATGGGTAAGAGTTCTCAACACACTGTGAATTTGTCTAACGTTTTTTTCCCAGCCCTCTCTTTCCAACTGTACTTGGCCACATTCACGAATGGCTCTGTTTAGGAGTGCAGTTATTTCCATATAAATTAGGGGATGGAGCCTTTCTATGAAATCACAATCACATACCAGTGCTTGAACTTGAAATGGATCATCTGGCCCTTTACATGCTCTGCAATAACACTATCTATCTGAAGAAGTGAGCAATGACTCACGAAAGCTCATCCCCGGCCACAAATTTTGTTAGCCAACCTAGCAGTTCAAAAGCAAGAAATTGCAAGTAGATAAATAGGTCGGATTCGACTGGCTTTCGAGCAAGGGAGACCTTTACCTTTACCTTTAAGGTGCTGCTGGACTCTGGCTCTTTTCTACTGCTACAGACAGACAAACATGGCTGCCCATCTTCATCTGTCTCTAAATTAATGGCACAGAGTCTTGTCAGATCTCAGAAGTTAAGCAGGGTCAGCCCTGGTTATTTATTTATTTATTCATTTAAACTTATGAAACACCCACCCTGCAGAGCAGGCTCTGGCTGATTGACAACAGGTTAGAGATTTAAAATTACCATCGATATCTTATTAAAGTTAGTAGTAGCAGCGGAGATTAAAACCCATCAAGATGGTGATATGAACCCCCCATTGCCGGTCACACTGCTGTCCTCACACAGATGAAGAAGAAGAAGATGAGGAGATTGGATTTATACCCCGCCCTTCACTACCCAAAGGTGTTTCAGAGCGGCTTACAAACTCCTTCCCCTTCCCCTCCCCGCAACAGACACCCTGCGAGGTTGGTGGGGCTGAGAGAGCTCTTCCAAGAACTTTCCTTGAGAGAGCAGCTCTGAGAGAACTTGTGACTGTCACCCAGATGGCTGCATGTGGAGGAGTGGGGAATCAAACCTGGTTCTCTCAGATTACAGTCCGCATACTTAACCACAACACCAAACTGGCTCTCACCAAACAGCAGGGCAGGGAAGGGTATGTGGGGGCCATAGAGGACAACCTCCCGTGTTAACCTCCCGTCGCTGCCCTCGACTAAAAGCCTGGCAGAACTTCTTTGCCTTACAGGCCCTGGGGAATTGCAGCAGATCCCGCAAGTCCTTGATGTTATTTGGCAGAGAGTTCCACCAGGTCGGGGCCAGGAGCGAGAAGGCCCTGCCCCTAGTCGAGGACAGCCGGACCTCCCAGGTTAGTATTTGGATGGGAGACCACTGAGGAACTCCAGGGTCGCAGCATGGAGGCACACAGTGGCAAACGCCTCTAAACGTCTCTTGCCTTGAAAACCCCATGGAATCACCATCATTCCACCGCGACTGGATGGGGGAAGAAAAAGGCTTCATTCAGCCACAAAGCTCTCTGGGTGGCCCTCTCTTTCAGCCTAACCTACCTCACAGGGTTGTTGTAAGGAGAAACTTTGCCTGCACGCTAACCTTGCAGGAGAGTTGGTAGCTAAGCTGGGTAACTCAGTCTCGGTTGAAAGGCTAGAAATCCCTTGGGGTAGGGAGCCTTTGTCACCGCACGCTCACCTGATGTTCACAGCGGTCTCATTGGCGTTACTCGGGGACGTCCAGCGTGTCCGGGTGCCGTTGCCAGAGACATTCTTTTTCACCAGGTACTCTGTGCCGCTGCAGCTGACGGCTTCAGTCTCTGCTTCCCAGAGACCCCCAGAACGGCCGTCGGCAAGGGCTTGCAGGATGACGGAGGTGCCGTTGTCTATTCCGCTGATGGTTACTGGAGAGAGAAAGGCATTTTTAGTGCCTGCGAGATGCCAGAGGGAAATTCCACAAACTCTCACGCCAGGGTCTGCCTGGACCATTCCCAACGCCACCCGCCTCCCCACCCCCCTGCGGCCTTTTCCCAAACGAGAAGATGGAAGTCAGTTCAGTTAACTGTGTGTGTGTGCGTGAATGCCTGTAGCCATCAGAAGACAAGGAGAACAGAAGTGTGGCAAACCACAAGTACGTTTTCATCCAGGAGAGGAAGCAGACACTAAGGCGGGGGCGGGGGGGGGGACACACACAGAAGAAGAAGCTGCAGGGAAGTGGGTTCCTTGGTAATGAGCTGTGACGAAATTTCTGTGCGGTTCTAGGTTGTACGGTTGCCAGCTTTCGGCTGGGAAGTTCCTGGAGATTTGGGTGTGTGTGTGGAACCTCAGGAGGGCAGAGTTTGGAGAGGGACCTCTCTGGGGTACAATGCCATACAGTCCATTTCCTCCAGGGGAAATGAAGTCTGCACATAAGTTATAATCCCGGGCGACGTTCCCCCTAAGTTGATTTAGTGTGAGCCAGCTCACAGTTTCTTAGACTCCGGCTCACACATTTTTTGCCTTCGCTCAGGAAGGAGGGCTCCAGAGCAAACTCATTTATGCAGCAGCTAAATCGCTCGCTCTCAACTGTAATGCCAGTAGCTCACAAAATAGAATTTTTGCTCACAAGACTCCACAGCTTAGAGGGAGCATTGGTCCTGAGAGATCTCCAGGCCTCACCTGGAGTTTGGCAACCCTAGGACTTCAGCACATCATTTTTAACCCCCCCTCCATGTTCCCACATGTAATCCAGGCCTCTGTCTCATTTTCCCATTGCTTATTTTTTTAAAAATAATTTTTTTATTAAGTTTTTGATACGATCAGCAAAATTAAAGCCAAACAGCGTTGCAAATGAATATAAATGAAAATCAAGTTAAACTAAGACATAATGATGAATTAAATAAGTTCAACAGTAACGTTCCAAAAACAGTAACGTCGACAAACTATATAACTTAACTTGGATGCCTATACCATGTCTGGCGAATATGTAGGTAAATATTACCGACTTCATAAACAGGTGAGTATTTCTTTGTATTTGATCGGAATATGACTTATTTGAGAAGAGTCGTTTGTTTGTATATATTCTATAAAAGGAGACCATTTAGCAAGCAAATTTGAAGATGTCCGTTGTTCTTCCATCCTTCTGATTGAATCAGTAATTTTGTCCATCGCTAGCAGTTCCCACTGTTTCTACAAGGATCACCAACCTCCAGGTAGATCTCATGAACACATGAAGCTGCCTCGTACTGAACCAGACCCTCGGTCCTTCAAAACCGGTATTGTCTACTCAGACTGGCAGCAGCTCTCTAAGGCTGAGGTCTTTCACATCACCTAATGCCAGATCTTTTAACTGGAGATAACGGGGGACTGAACCTGGGACTTTCTGCATGACAAGCAGATGCTCTGCCACTGAGCCACACAGCCCCTCTTAGAATTACAACTCATCTCCGGGGGACAGAGATCGGTTCATCAGGGGGGAAAAATGAACATAACATAAGAAAATAAGAACATAAGAGACACCAATGTTGGATCAGGCCAAAGGCCCATCCAGTCCAACACTCTGTGTCACACAGTGGCCTCTGCCCCAAGGAGCCTGCAGTCTCAATTCAGGCTAGAGAGGAGCCGGTGTGTGCCTGCACATGCAGATTTAAAGGATTAAGCCCAAAGCTTCGCTCTCATCTTGGAATCTTCACATTCCTTCCAGGGTGAGAAAGATCTGCTGGGCTCAGCGCCTTCCTGGGGCGTGGTCTGTATTCCAGTTACAGAACTGGATTTATGTCAGAGTTCAGCCCTGGAAACTGGTTTCGAAGGCCAGACTTAATCTCTGGGAGACGATGCGTTAAACAAAACACCCCCAAGCAAGGACAGCGTGTTTTCCCTTCATCCATGAGCAGAAACTAGGGTTAATACAACAAGATACAAACAGGGGTCACAGTGTACAGTAACATGCCAAAAAACAGGAAATCACTGTGATCAATGACAATGACACATTTAATAAATTTTACATAGAAACAAAGTCCAACAATTCATTTACTCAATATTACATTAAAAACAGAGTCCAACTTATTCATATTCTCAACAGAGTATAGCATTTCCTTCACATTACTCAATGAGTACACCGGTTTTTACACTCATTTCATTATCTTCCTCAAGAGTAATCTTAAAGTAGGCTTGTTGCCACATAAAATTATGGACCGGCTGCTACGAGTAAATATGATTGGCCTGCTCCTATTTTAGAACATGCAATGGAACTGTAAGTTTAAAATTTAAAATTATAGTTATAATTGATAACAATATTACTACACACAGCTTCATGTTTGTTTCTACTCCTTTCTAATGTGCTTTTTACAGGATAGCTTAAGAAAACACCTTCCAACTCCTAATGCATTCACTTCATAGAGAGCTATTGGCCTACAATGTGAAATGGAGAGCATATGCCAGCATGAGAGCGAAGCTTTGGGCTTAATCCTTTAAGTCTGCATGTGCAGGCACACATCGGCTCCTCTCTAGCCTGAATTGAGACTGCAGGCTCCTTAGGGCAGAGGCCCGGCCTCGTTTTGCTGCAGAGTTCCCTATTTAATGCTGAATGTAATGCTCTTTAAATGCCAAAGGAGTTCATCTATTCTCAGCGGCCCCTGCTCCACTGATAGTAGTGGGACTGGGATTAGCTATCAGAGAGGAGAATTTTATGGACATATCCGGGGGAGGGGGGGAGTTCCCTGTTATTTGCTTTCTGTCCCTGTAATTTGCTTGTCATTCATATTTCTGAGTCAAGTATCCTAGACAGTCCCCCTAAAACCGAACACTCCCCCAAAGCTTCTTGCAATGGAGGGTGTTAGATTCTGCTCTCGCTAATTAAAGGCTGGTTTTCATCTGAGGAGTGATGCCATCCCATGTTTGAAATGCTAGACAGACGTGGCAGAGTGGGGAAATCGATTGCACTTTGGGTTTGGTTGTGAGTTCCAATTCCACCTGGGCCTGTCACATTTGCCGGGCAACGTTGACAGACCAGTTTGGGCGATGCAACCGATTTCCCAGGGCTGTTGTGCAGACTTGCAAGATGAAGGTTGTGGGCGGCGAAAAAAGGCAATTGCCAAATCAACATTCTCTTCCCTTCCATTATTATCCACATTTCCTTTATGCCGGTTCTTCATTTCATATTATCGTTGGCTCTCGTTTTCACTGGAAGTTTGAGGATTTTTGCACTGAATATGGGAAACCGGACTTTTAAAAGCATGACTAACACCATGTTTTGCTATGCAAAAGCTTTAAAAAAACTATAATCCCCTCCTTGTGAGGTGGGCCATAACGTCTCCCATTTCACAGGTGGCCGACTGAGAGACGGGGCATGCGCTCAAGGCCATCCAGCAAGTCCGTGGAAGGAATTATTAAACCCCCATGACTTCATTGCACCGCAAACTCTTTCGAATGCCAATGAAAGGTGTCCTTGCGAGAAGACTAGACTCTGACAGGCAAGTCCCTCTGGGTCCCGTAAGCGCATGCCTGCAGATCCCTCTTATCTGGTAGAAAGTGCCTACAAGCTGCAGCGGATTTATGGCGACCAATGTTCCCTCTAAGCTGTGGAGTCTTGTGAGCAAGAATCCTACTTTGTGAGCTATGGGCATTAAAGTTGTGAGCGAGCCATTAGGTTGCTGCATAAATTAGTTTGCTTTGAGGCCATCCTTCCTGAGCTAAGGCAAAAATCTGTGAGCTGGAGGCTAAAAAACTGTGAGCTAGCTCACACCAACTCAGCTTAGAGGGAACACTGATGGCGACCCCATAGTGTTTTCAAGGCAAAAGACTTCAGAAGTGGTTTTGCCATTGCCCGACTCTGCGTAGCAATCCTGAACTTTCTTGGTGGTCTCCCATCCAAGTACGAACCAGGGCTGAACCTGCTTCGCTTCTGAGATGAGATCGGGGTTGCCCGGGCCATCCAAGTCAGGGCAGATCCCTCTAATAGCTCCCCAGGCCCGTAGCCACAGTGGGGCATCTTGGGGCCAGGCCCCCTGACTTACTGCCCAGCCCCCCCGACTTCCCATACAGCCAGTTTGTTTTGTTTTATTTTTCACACGCATCACAGTGCTGAGCCGTCGCCCTGCTTTACCTGCTGGCGCCCTTGCCTCTCGCCTCTCTCGCTCGGCACTTTTAAAAAACGTTTACTCTCTTGTTGCTCCTGACACAGCCTTGGGTGTGTGTGGGGGGGTGCCCCCCAACATATTTAAATGCCCCCCCAAAGTAAAAGATCCTGGCTACAGCCCTGCAGCTCCCCCCCTTTTGCATACTTTCTGAACCACTCAGCCTAATTTCCACAAGATCCTATTGACCTGTGGGTCACTGGTACCCCAACACGAAGATAATTCTGGATACACCACGAGACAGTCCACGAGACAGCCGCCGCCGCCACCACACGGGAAACTTTGCAAGATAACAGTCCAGTGCCGAGAGGTGTTCTCGCTTACCTGTATAGATCTCCTGTGGCCGAAAGGTCTGAGGACTCACGTCTAGTCTGAAAGAGCCGCGGGGGATCGTGTTCTTGACAACCTCACAGGGATGCTCCAGGAGGAAGGCTGGAGAGACCAGCAGGCCGAGGAAGAGCAGTTGGAGGGTGCACCTGGGATTTGCCATGACGAAAGAAGGGCTGCTGCGTTCCTGCCACTTCTCTGCAAGGCACACCTGAGACGTAAGGAGGGAGGGCAACCGGCTGGGCTATTTATCCTCTGGGGAGGATGCAAATTCCTCTCTTCTCACACCCTCATCAAGTGGGAGGTTTCACAGGAGTGCCAAATTTGGCATGCATTTCCTCCGCCTTGCCGTTTCGCAGTCCAATGAGCTGTCTGTGTGAAGGGGGAGAGAACGAAATGTGAGTCCAGTGGCACCTTTAAAGACCAACAAAATTCCATTCAGATATCTGAAAAATTGTGCTGGCACACAAAGGCTTATACCTTGAATACAATCCTCCTCCTCCTTAGCATTTATGTAGGACTTTATTTAAATTTTCTTCTCCTGCTCTTTATGATGTTCGTATTCCACTTTTCAGGAGCTGCGGTGGCTCAAGAAGTTAAGACGCTGAACTGCAGGCTGTGGAAGGTCAGTAGTTCAGCAGTTCGAGACCCGAGTGTGCCACATGACGGAGTGAGCTCCCGTCTCTAGTTCCAGCTCCTGCCAACCTAGCAGTTCGAAAGCAAGAAATTGCAAGTAGATAAATAGGTACCACTTCGGTGGGAAGGTGACAGCGTTCCGTGTGCCTTGGTGTTTAGTCATGCCGGCCACATGACCACGGAAACGTCTTTGGACAGCGCTGGCTCTTCAGCTTTGAAACGGAGATGAGCACTGCAACCCTAGAGTCGGACTCGACTGGCTTTCAAGCAAGGGAACCTTTACCTTTTTATCCCACTTTTCAGCCATCAGTTGGTGCTCAGAATTGCTGGGGGGGATGTGAATAAAAGAAATGCAAATGCCAATTGCAGTCTGGGGCAAGTGATGCTCTGTATTCTTGGTGCTTGGGGGGGGGGCAACAGTGGGAGGGCTCCTACAATGCTCCCTCTAAGCTGTGGAGTCTTGTGAGCAAAAACTCTACTTTGTGAGCTCTTGGCATTAAAGTTGTGAGCGAGCGATTTTGCTACTGCATAAAATAGTTTGCTCTGGAGCCCTCCTTCCTGAGCTAAGACAAAAAGGTGTGAGCCGGAGGCTAAAAAACTGTGAGCCAGCTCACACTAACTCAGCTTAGAGGGAACATTGGGCTCCTAGTGTCCAGACCCCACTGCTGGACCTCCTGATGACAACTGGTCTTTTTGGCTACTGTGTGACAGAGTGTTCGACTGGATGGGCCACTGGCCCATTGGTTTCTCTTAGGTTCTTATGTTCAGTTTGATACACATTCTTTGAGGAGGGGATTCTCGGCCATCTTTGGGCTCTGATGGCCCTGTTGGGGGGCGGGTCTCAGCTGGAACTGGGCTTGGGCATCTCGAGGGGGTGGATAACTGTGCTCCCCTTCCCTCTGCTGGTCCCATTCATGACAGTTGATGGCTCTGGGGCATTCAGAACACTGAGTGTACCTGATCTGATTGGGTCTTCACAACAGCCCTGCGAGGGAGGTCAGTGTGATTTATCGTCCCTCTGTTGCAGAGGCTTGACTCAATCAAGGAGGCCACGGCCTTCAGTTTGCTAGTCCCTGAGCCTCGGCAAGGAGGTCATTAATGCACAGGGTCGCCGGAAGCTGGAAGAAACCTGATGACACATAACACACACATTACAGAGGCGGTGGAGCAGCACGTCGGTGGTGGGAAATGCCAAAGAAAAGGGAGAGTCATTCTTTCTTATCCCTGCCTTCACTGCCAGTCTGCCATGTGGGAAGAGTAGAAGAAGAAGAGATTGGATTTATACCCCGCCCTTCACTACCCAAAGGAGTCTCAGAGTGGCTCACCAACTCCTTCCCCTCCCCCTCCACACAACAGACACCCTGTGAGGCGGGTGGGGCTGAGAGAGCTCTGACAGAAACTGCTCTTTTCCAAGGACAGCTCTTATCAGAACTATGGCTTGCCCAAGGTCATCCAGCAGGTGCAAGTGGAGGAGTGGGGAATCAAACCCGGTTCTCCCAGATTAGAGTCCGCACACTTAACCACTCCACCAAACTGGACAGAAGAAGAGCCCTGCTGGATCAGACCAAAGGCCCATCTAGTCTAGCATTCTGTTCACACAGCGGCCAACCAGGTGCCTCTAGGAAAGCTGGAAGACTGCATCCTCCCACCTGTGACCCACTAGAAACTGATTTAAAGTGTCACATTATCTCTGCTACAGGAGGAAGTCGATATCCATCATGATGAGTAGCCGCTGACAGCCCAGTCCTCCATGAATTTGTCCACCCCCCTTTGAAAGCCTTCCAAGTTGATGGCCATGACCACATCCTGTGGCAGCGAGTTCCACAGATTAACTACAAACGGTGTGAAGAAGCACTTCCTTTGTCTCTGTGCTGAGTCTCCCGCCCTTCGTCTTCAGGGGATGACCTCAGGGGTTCTAGCACCGTGGGAGAGAGAGAAACGTGTTTGCTCTGTCCACAACACAGTAAAACAACGCTGACCTCCCTTACAAGGTGATTGTAGAGGAGACTGTCTGGTCAGTTCATAGCAGAGGCAAGATTCACAAGGGGGGCTGCCTGACTTCTAGCTTAGTCATGTGGATTCTTGGATCGCTCCCCCCCCCTGCAACTTTACAGTAGGCTGAGATGGATAAATTGACTTTAATATTGAGAGGACAAAAAAGGGAAAAATTTCAAAATACATGGTCAAGGTTTTATAAATGGCTGGAAGACTATAACAAATGAATAATACTGACACTCAACTATAATATAAGAAAATACAGAACACATCTCTAAATATAATGCAAAATACTTATACAAAAATGTATGGTGATAAATAATGCTTACTATATAAATAGACAATGTTGTTGTTGTTCAGTCGCACAGTCGAGTCCGACTCTTCGCGACCCCATGGACCAGATCACGCCAGGCCCTCCTGTCTTCCGCCGTCCTCTGAGGTTTGCTCAATTTCATGTTCGTTGCATCTATGACACTGTCCAACCACCTCATCCTTTGCCGTCCCCGTCTTCTTTGACCTTCAGTCTTTCCCAGCATCAGGGTCTTCTCCAGTGAGGGCTCCCTTCTCATTGGGTGGCCAAAGTATTTGAGCTTCAGTTTCATTATCTGGCCTTCCAGGGAACAGTCAGGGTTGATTTCTTTTAGGATTGACTGATTTGATCTTGCAGTCCAAGGGACTCTCAAGAGTCTTCTCCAGCACCACAGACAATGTAAAAGTAAAGGTAAAGGTTTCCCTTGCTCGAAAGCCAGTCGAGTCCGACTCTAGGGTTGCGGTGCTCATCTCTGTTTCAAAGCCGAAGAGCCAGCTCTGTCTGAAGACGTTTCCGTGGTCATGTGGCCGGCATGACTAAACACCGAGGCGCACGGAACGCTGTTACCTTCCAGTTACAACAGAGATGTCTATGAAATCCCCAAATTATATATATTTATGTTTGTTTGTTTTTCATCTGATATAAAATAAAAAATTCTTATTGAAAAAAAGTTCTCATGTCACTAGAGATGCAAAGTGTTAACCAATACTCTGGAGACTGAAATGCTGATATTTCCAGACAGGTTTCAAGATTTATATTCCGAATTGAAGCATTCACTCCTCCTTTCTTTTAAATAAATAAAAAAAATCAGTCATGGTTTTCTTTGCTTAATGCAAATATGTAATAATTGAAATACAGTCGGCATACAATTATCACAATAAATCAATAAATGAACCAGTCCAGATGGCGAAATAAACTCCTTTTGCCGGCTACAGTGCCGTCTGCGCAGCAGGGTAGGGCAGGGCACGTGGGGGGTCACAGGAAGAAAAAGAGGATGCCAGTCCTAACTGCTACTCCCCTGAGCTGAAAGCCTAACAGAACATATCTGCCTTAGAGGCCCTGTGGAATTGCATCAGATCCCGCAGGGCCCTGATGTTGTTCGTCACAGAGTTCCAACAGGTTGGGGCCGGGAACGAAAAGACCCTGTCCCTAGTCGAAGACAGACGGACCTCCCTAGGGGGAGGCAGGACGGCCTTCCTAAGGCCGGGGATCACCAGTGATGGGGCGCTTGGGATACTGGAGATCCTGATAGAACGATTTATTTATTTATTTCTATTTATATCCCGCCTTGCCTGACAAGCAGGCTCAAGGCGGCGAACAACTGAGTTAAAATTACAACAAGACACAGATAAAATGCGACAATAATATATAAAGGCCCCGTTCACACGCCGAATTTTCCACGGGAGAGCCACGAATGCCGGGCAGATTTTCAGGGCGCGATCACACCGCAACATCTGGCAAGCGTAGCGCACCCGTGGCCAACCCGTGGCGTGCCGCCGAAGCTGCGCAGTTAAAAAGTATCTCAACAACTGTACTAGAAAATGGTTTGCCACAGGCTGCCGACGGAATCGTTCCGTGTGATTCCACCGGCGTGCGGCTCCCCCCCCCCGGCTGTCCTCCTTGATGTGCACGCGCTGATGGACGAAACCGTGGTGTGCCGCCGTTGCGTCTGATTGCGTTCTGGCGGGTCTAATTGCGCCAGCGCAAAGAGCCACGCCTCCCCCCTGCGTTATCCGGCCCGTGTGACCGGGGCCTATGTGCAGATTAAGTACAATAGCAAAGTGTGGATGGCCATCGTTGTAAGATGGTCCAGTATGACTAGACCAGTATCCCCAGTAGAGTGCCGGTAGCATGCGGGTTGTAATAGATGATTTCAGTAGCTCATTCATCAGTGGCGGCTCCTAATCAAAAGACTGGTGGAAGAGCTCTGTTTTACAGGCCCTGCGGATCTGTAAAAGGTCCCGCAGGGCCCTGATGTCCTCCAGGAGCTCAATCCACCAGTGTGGAGCCGCCACTGAGAAGGCCCTAGATCTGGTGGTGGCCAATCTGGCATCTTTTGGACTGGGGAGAGTCAGTTGGTTTTGGGTCCCCGACCTCAGTGCTCTCCGGGAGGTCGCATGGGTAAAGGCGGTCCCTCATCCGATGTGTGCCGATTCAAAGCTAACCAGAAGAGACCAGGAACTAATTAGCTTGTTGCTATGCAGAAAATGTTCTCAGGAGTAAAGTCCATTTCTCGTCGGTCCTCTATTACGATTGCTAAAGAAA